AAAAACACCAACATGGACTCAAGCCTTCCCTCCTTTCGAACACTTGCTGACTCCCTTGTGCCAAGCGCAAGAGAGAATAGGACTTCCGAGGCCTTTCACAACTGGGCCTCAGCCCACTTTCCCTCCCACTCCAAGAATCTCAGGCTCCAGTTACATTGAAGTGACTTGCTGCCCAGTACTTCCCTCCAGGCTACTTATCGCCATGTTTACTCACGTTTATCCTTTTCACTTGGGGTAAAGGAAGACTACCAACCATGAAATTCTTTTAAGTAGTATAGAGCAATCTGTTTAAACTTCTAAAATTATGACATGAGGATAATGAGAGAGGAAGGTTCAGCGGACACAAGGCAAACTCATCCATATAAATGCCCTACTGAGCATAAATACTATAAATTATCACGTGTGCCTAGAAAAGTTGCTCAGCTGGAGGCGGTTAGCTGGATCTAATGACTAAATGTCTCTGATGGCACATCAGGAGGCAGTTTTAACTTTTATGCTTTATGTACTGAATTCAGAGGGTGGCTTGGAGGAGCAGAGCAAGTCTCAAAAGTGTTAGAGTCTCTGAGATCCACACTTCTCTCTTTTCTTCCTGCATCCTCCCTCACATTTGCATAAGGCAGATGTGTCCTTTCAGGGTTCAAATGGTGGGTAATCAGAAGTTGTTCTATCCAAGCTAAACCAACAAGACCTTGGAACTTGGGGTTGTAAGAAACTACATGGTAAGTGTGGCAGAATTAGTAGCCTCAACTTCAGGGTCCTCCACAGTGCCTGATGAAGGCTAGTATATGATGGACCCTTACTTTGCCATTCAACAAATATGTACTAAGCAGTAGAGGGTTTGTTTTTCCAGGTTTAGAGTTTTAAGCTTGTTAATAGTAGTTGAATTCTTTCTCTGTTCTGTCATCTGCATTTGGGAACTCTAAGTTGGACTTTACCTTTCATGGGTTTTCTTATTTTTATAATCACTCCCTCTCTCCTTCTCTAGCCCACTCCAGTTGTTCATGCAGTAGACTCTCAGCAAATATTTGTTGTGGGGAAGGAGGAGAAGAGAAAAGGAGGAACAGAAACAGCTACATATAAGCAACACAGTAGGGTCGGTCATTGTTCTCTAATCCATTTTCTGTCTGGAGACTATTCTCCTTGGCTAATGCCCTAGCATCTTTCCAGAAAGTTCTGCCAAGGTCATGACTCTTGTCATCCCCTTTGGTTCTCATCCTCTGCTAGCACATTTGTCACCAAAGCTCCTCAGCTCCTCTTCCCAACTCCTTTTTTTCTTCCATTCCTCTTTTTCCTCCTTCCTTTCTCTCTTCTTCCGTCCTTCCCTCCCTTCCACAAATATTCCTAAAACTTGAGCTCTGTGCCAGACACAGTGCCAGGCTCTGAGGGTGCACAGAGAGGCCATGCAGGGGGCTCAGGCTAGTGGGGAGATGGACACATGCACCAACCATTGCACATGGTGCATGAACGCTCAGAGTTGAAAGTGCAGAGATTTATACTGAGGAATAGTGAGAAGGAAGGGAGGCAGCAGAACTGGGGGAGGTTCCCCAAGGAGAGGTGATACAAGACTTCAATCCTGAAGGAAGAATAAATATAACCTAGTTAAGAAAGATGGAAAGGGCATCCAGGCAAAGGGAAAAACCACAGGGAAGGGGGCGAGAGGAAAACGATGAAATAGGACAGGTTTTCCTATGTGACTTATCAGTTCTATCTCATTGCTTTACACTCTACCCATTTACCTCATATCAAATGAAGTGATTCAATCCTCAGGCATTTTAGGAAATTTAGATAGCTAATCACCCAATCTCTTAAATAGCAAAGCATTGATAATGTACGTTAGCCATGAGATTAAGCACATTCTTTGGTGAAAACAGGATTGGGTTTGAGGGAGACCAAAATATCCCCAAAATATTTCTTTGGCATATTTCAAGTTGGTTATTCAGAGAAACTGCAGACCTCAGATGCTGGAATGGCTCTGAAAATCTAATCTTTTGGGAAAAGAAAGTTACTTGTATTTACATCAGTAAACAGCAGAGGCAGGCACTGCCTTTTGTGTCTGCACTTTCTGCAGAAGGAAAGATCCTCACAGGAAGAAGAGACTAAGGTTCTAACATCTGGTCTGGACAGAGATTCCTGTTACCATTAGGTGGCAGTTATAGGAAGATGTCATCCACATTAAGCAGACAACCCTTGCTCACTGTACCCACCCCCTCTTCCACAATCTCCAATAGACTGTTTGCCCCCTTTGGATTTTCATACTGAGTATGTATGTGGCTCTCACACTTAGGAACGAGAAAGTGTGTGTGTTCTTTTTCCTATCTGTCTATTGTCTATTTATTTCCAGACTAAACTTCTTCAGAGGAAGAATTTAAAATTTCCCTGTAAGTGCTAATGGGAACCTGAATGGTAGGCTGATAATAATCAGGCAATCAGTGGGAACTGTAACACATTTTATTTTGTTTTCTCTCTCCAGGGTATTTGAGAAGCTGGACTCCTTTGACATAAAGGCCAATAGAGCAGTTTGTGGCTCTCTTAGCCTTAGTAGGAAAGAGAGTGAAGGAAGAAGACAGGTGGTTCTAGGAATTTCAGGAGATGCCAAGGTACATTTTGAGTCTTTTTGACTAAACCTTTGCAGGTCTAACACATATTCAGGACATTTAGTAAGATCCTCCCAGTTCTACCAACTCAGCTACATTGGAAAGGAAAACTGAGGCCCTAGCCCTTCTCCCCGTGTGGTTTATTTCTGTTCACAAAACCTCTAAAAACAGGAGGCCAAGGCTGACCTCTTTAGTCAAGAGTCAGCTCAACTTTAAAATTATGATTGCATGTGAAAGCTAAAATGGGAAAGAGAAAAAATCAGTTCTCAGGGCAGAAATGCTAAAAAACCCTTGGGCCACATTCCAGTTAGGGTCCTGGCCCTGCACACAGAGCTCCCATTGGGGGTGGGTGGGTGGGAGATCAGCCAAGCCCAGTTCAAACCAGTTGAGTGTCAGGGATCCTGGGGTTTACTCTAGAGGTGTCCAATTTACAGATAAAGATATTTACTCTAGTGATTGTGCTACATAATCCTTAAAAAACAGCAACTCAAAGCCAGGTCTCATTATTGAGAGCCTGCCAAAGCATTCACCCACTCTCAATGAGCTATTTACAGAAAAGAAATCAAAACGGATAGAGTATATATTTGTTCCCTAGGGCCTCTGTAACAAATTGTCACCAACTGGTGACTAAAAACAACAGAAATTTATTCTTACACAGTTATGGAGGCTAGAAGTCAAAAATCAAGGTTGGTTCCTTCTGGAGACTCCAAAAAAGAATCCTCCACATTTTTCTTCTAGCTGTGGGAAATTTCCAGCAATCCTTGATGTTTCTTGTTTGGCCTGCATAGTCAGTCTCTGGCTACATGTGGCATTTTCCTCTATATGTGTCTAAATGTTTCTTTTCTTAGATGGATATTAGTTATTGGATTAGGACACACCCTAATCAAGTATTAGCCCATTCTAATTTAATTATATCTGCAAAGACCCTATTTCCAAAAAGGGTCATATTCATAGGTATTATGGGAATCCCTGATACCTATCTTTTGAACATATCTTTTAAGGGGACACAGTGGAACCCACAGGAATGTAAAGTGAAAATAAAGCAAACTCCTGTGTAAAATAAAAAGAAAACAAAAGCCTTAGCTAAACATGAGATAATCTGGCTATCTAGCCTACCTATCATCTTCCCATTGGGTTACCCTTGCCCTATGCAAGTCTTGGTTTCTCCTCTCTAAAGGAGGGCAATACTTGCCCTACTTACTTCAGAAATACCATGAGAATAAAATAAAATCACATAAAGTATTTTCTACTGGGAAAGTGTTTCTACAAGTGCAAAGGATTATTATGAATTCATCCCAGATTGTGTTGACTTTTCCTTAACTTCATAACTACTTAATGAGTAGGTAATGGAATGAGAAACACAGCCTGTCTTACAGAGAAGAGAATTTAAATTATATGCCTCCCTTCATTTAGGGTTTGAGATAAAAGTACAATAGCAATCCTCAGATAAGAAGAGTAGTGTTGCAAATCCCTATTCACTGGGCTTTCTACTCACCCCAGCTGCAGGGTGGTGTTCAAATGAAGCCAAAAGGTGGCAAGCAGTTCAAAAGCCAACCAAGAGGACTGATCTTATCTGAGACATCAGCAGATACCTCCAAGAGCAGTGGCTCTCCTCCCCTCTGTGTGGTCCATGTTACTGGATCCCATGACAACATACTGATAATCTGCTTTGTTTTGAGTGCTGGGTATAGAATCCAGGACCTCCCATATGCTAGGGAAGCACTCCACCACTGAACAACCTCAGAGCTCCCAATATCTTAATACTTGCTTGTTCTGACCAATGACTTTTCTGGATATGGAGATATAAACCACCCAACTTAGAAAATTAGACAAAGACATTTTTTTCTGATTGATGTGACATACTAATGTGTATTACATAAAACAGAACATTCTGTAGCTAGAAAAAAAAATTAAAAGATGAAAATCTAAAGGTTAAAAAAAAAAAAGGTCCCCTTCTTACTTTTTCAGAGGCCTAAAGCGCTAACCGTGATGGAAAAACTTGTTTCAGGCCACCAGATTGAGTCAGTGGTAAAGACGGCTACCCTGGAAATGCCAAAAAGTAAGTGTCATTGGGATAACAGCTTGAGAACTATAGTTATAGCCAAAGCATCCTGTGATATACTTGAGTGCTACTGATGACCACAGTAGTGATAAATTCTGTTGACCTTGAATTGTGGTGTTTGCTGACCCAGGAGAAATGCTAGGGGGAGAAAATAGCACTAGCAAAAAAGAAACAAAGAGGCTCTAGGAATCCATTTCTCAACCTGCCTGGTAAGGTGAATCCTCTATTTCTCACTGCTGGGTATGCATGCTTCCCAGGGGTTGTCATACATATTCAGGGATATGCCAAATTGCACACCAGTTAATAAACAAAATTTTATTTTCCTTTAATACAAAAATTAAATAGCAAGGCTTTTTTTTTGTACAGTTGATAAATTAGAAATTTACAGTACAGACATCAATGCAGACATACTTTAGTACATCCTTAAAAGTAGGGTCCATTTCCTTTGCAATTTAGCAATTCATTCAGGGTATGTGTAGTAGGAGTTTGCTTGGTACCTCCATGTCAGACTTCTCAAAGTCTCCAGGTTGCCCTCCAGGCTCTGGAGCCGTGGGATGGCATGAGGACCCAAGAAAAGGCAACAGAACAACAAACTTAACTGTTGCACAGAGTAGGTTGACTTGTGTTTTATCTTTTTTGCAGATTGCACCTGATAATTAGTCCGCCATTCTCATGAAGAACTCAAGGGGCCTTCATCCCTACATCTTCTGAAGCCTCACAACACCCCTGTGAGGTAGAAGAAATTCAGAACCACCTAGACACCCCACTGGGAGAGATCTAGAAAGCAGCTTTCCCCTTCCAGTGCTCACAGCCAAGTCAGGGCCTGAGCCTATTAACAGGATTTGGAAAATTTGCACAACCATGGAAGGAAGTTGGACCCAACTTTTGTGGGGCAGAGCTGCTCTTGCCCCTCCTCTCAGAAGCTTTCTAGGATGACAGTGGTCATGTACTGAATATTGCAGGCAATCAAGAAGGTACAAAAGCTTTGGGGACATGGCTCATATGGGACCCCAAAAAGGCCCTCTACAAATTGCCTGGGTGAATACTAGGAATTTGCTGGTGCCAAGAGAGGAAATAAGGTAAGGCAGAAATAGCAACAAGCTACTACTGGGGCAACTGGGCTTACCAGGGGAAGAGTCATGTCAGAAGATGACAGCACCCTCCTGGTACTGTCAAGCGTGCCATAACTGCATGGCAACAAGCAGTCATAGAGAGCTCCATCCAGGCTACAGTGAAACAGAACCTATTATTTAAGCCTCTAGCATCTGATCCTTGGTAGGAGCAAAATGCTCTTTTAGGAGTTTCTAAGATCTGTGACCTAGCCATGGAGGAAAAACGATAACCCAGGGCCTTTGCCAGACATAATGCAAACCCAGCCAGGAATTCTGAACTCAAACACAGTAAAGGAACAAAGAGAAATGTCACAGTCTAGGGACTTGACATGATTGGCTGGAATAACAACTATCTCTAATTCCTTCCATCACAGAATGAAATTAAGGATGAAGACTGATTTTAAGAGGCTCCTCCCAAAGTCTTGTGCTCTGTGGCTCCCTTTCCTAACTGCTGCTGTAGCTGCCTCACCAGAAGCCATCCTGGTGAAACATCTCTAAATTGAACCAGTCCCTGCAGGGCTGAGGATGTTGGGCTCATCTTTGCATCCTCAGGTGCCAGCTTGGTTCTCAACACAAATAAAACTTAATTCTAAAACCAGAAGGCCAGGAGGGCAGAGAGTTCAGAGCTGTGGGTGCTGGATAGAACCAGAATTCAGAATTTAAGTTTCCCAGGTTCTAGGTTTGGGGAGTGCAGGTGGAGAGAGACTGGGGAAGGAAAGTCAGAGAGCATCTTTGAAATGAAGTGTCTAGTTTCAGGGCCTGGGCAAGATGCCAGCTCAGAAGCAGTCTCGGCGATCAGGAAATGGGTCTCCATAAAGGAAGAAGGATATGAATCAAGCAAGTAGCTCAACCAGATAGTTCTGGCCTGTTCCACCCTACTCCACGTTCCTCTGCTTGTCCTGAGGTTTGGCCTTCATAAAACAAGATAAAGGTGTCTGCCAGAGAGGTTGGACAGAGGTGTCCTTGGCCCTGTGTGCTAAAATCTCCAGAAGCCAAGGGATTTTTGTAGAAAACTACAATCATATCTACTTATTCTAGATTTCAAAGAAAGAAAAATAAACCTAACATTTCCCTTAGCAAGACATTCTCCTTAAATATACCTATATAAGCTGCCTGGAGCCTCAAACCCTGACTTGCCTGCCTCCAAAGCCATAGAAGATGTGGAACCATTTCCTTAAAGCCTAGTCTGTCTTCCTAGGGCATTTCTATGCAGATTGTCCCTGATGCTTTCTGTCAAAGCTGCTGTAACTGATTTGTAAAGCATCCTGCGGAAAGAGAGATCTGCTAAAGGTAGAGAGACCTAGGAAGAGGTTTGTGGGAAAGAGATAGTGAACAGATATGAATCTAGAGGCCCCTGCTCTTCACAACAGTGAAGTCCAGTGGACCCAAGCGCACTAGAAAACCAGAGCTTATCTCCATGGCAGCCCTATGGTGCCTAACATGGGCCTTTACACACAGTTGGCACGTGATAAATGTGGTGAAAACTGACTTCTGGTTTTTTTGAAACAAATACCAATCCAAGAGGTGATGGAATTGCTTGAAGGTCATTGGTAACTGACTCCTTCACCACAGTTTTTTCCTGAAACCGTAAACACTCTCCATTGTCTGCAATGTGAAAGGAAAAGCCTATAACCCTGTGACATTGCTAAGGCTACTAATCCAGTTTGTACTGACATCCACTTCTGCTCAAATGTACTTTCCTCTGAAAAGGCAGGAGATTGATGCAGCAGACAGTCAACCCCCAGAAGTTGTCAGGGCACTAGCTCCAGAACTCAGGTGTCCACGTTCACCCAAGTGCTCTGTTATGGCTATAATTATTACTTTATCATTTACAGATATTGAACACTCTGCCTTGCCCAGCCCTCTGCTAGGTGCTGCCTTGGTCACACAATCACTGAAGCATTACAAAGAAAATCGCATCACGAGTGCCTACACTCCAACAGCAACAGCCGCCAGCCCCCCTACTGCATGGTCCTCCTTCCCTTTCCTGGGCCAAAGTCTCTGCACAACTCCCAAGACACCAGAGCAGAGCGTGAGTAAGGGCAGCCTCTGTCCCTGGGTGCATGCTCCAGAACCTTGGCCAGTTATGGGAACTGTCTGCAAGCAGCACAGGGAGTTCACATTTTACATGTCGTAGGCAATACGGTCTCAGATGGAGTCAAACCGGCCCTTCCAGGGATCAGTTCTCATGCTCCTGGAGCCCTCACCCAAGTCCAGCTAGGTGCTCAGACCGCACAAAGCAGCAGGGGCCACCAGGCCCATGTAGCTTCTATCTCAAAAGACCCACGATGGTCCCTTCCAATCACACACACAGTGGACCTTATATGCTTCTTGATCTCAATAACCCGCAAAAACAAAGAGGAAAGAATCACTGGCATAAAGCTCAAACCAAGAAAAATAAAAAGACATTCTTTTCTCTAGAATTTGATCACCTATTTGGAATTTTTCATCCTTGGAAATGTTTCTCCACAAAGTGTGATGGGGAGAAAAAGAGCTTGCTTATTTTTTTAAAAGCATGAATTAATACATAATGAGACATTGAAACATAGTTGCTGAAGCAGAGACAGGTATGAATTATAAGGAGGGCAACCTGTGACATGAACAATTTATCCTGGAGATTTGGTGATTAGAAGGCCTAAAGCAAGTTAAAAGAAAGACCAGTTATAATTTTAAAAGAACTCCAACTTTTGATAGGCTGCTAGTGGGTACCCCCTTGAGAGGAACTTAAAGCATAAATTTTAAAAGCTTTGGATACCTCCGCTAAAGGTAATTAAGACCTGTACTGTTAGAGTTTGCAGTTCATTTCATATGGTCTACACTTTATTCCCTGCTAACCAATCCAGCTCCTGGCTGGCATTCTGGAGATTCATTAAGCACCACATAAATACTCCAGGCCACACTGCCTCCAATGAAATCTTACAAGGAGCCTTTGCCAATTACAGGGAACAATTATACACCAAGTAGTTGGATTAACTGTCCTTAGTTTGCTTTACAAAATTAAATAAGTCTCCACTGTGGTAAGTAGACTAGATTCTGATAACATTCTCATGCTGGGGGAAAAAGGCACTATCACTCTAAGAATGCAAGCTGACCATAGTTTTAAAGTCAGTTGAGTATTCTATGTCATGGTCCAAGAATGTGCTTTTAATTGTAATTGACACACACAAATTACACAGTTAATCTGTGTGAATGCAAAGTTGCCAAGAAATTTAACATTTCAGCTCTTCCAGACTGGCGTCTGCGTAGATGCAATCACACAAAGTAAAATACATTAAGTCCCAACTGCTTCACGCAATAGGTCTCTGGGGTGGGTAAGGTAAGTCAACTTAGTAAATCTCATTTGCCTCTGAATTAAGTGATTGTCAGAAAGTGAATCACCTTTCCTTTTTCCCTCATTAGGCATACTGTGGTGCAAAAAATTCCTATAAAAAGACCTCTTCTGGATCGTTAGGGTAAATGAAGAAAACAGCAGCAGCCTAAGACAAGGAAGTTGAAATTTAAGAGAGGAGGAGAAAGAAGAAAAATCCACTGGACATCTTATGTGTGTTAATACAGTACTTTGTTTGTTCAAACAATTCTGTTTTATGACAAAGGCACTGAAAGATTTTGACACCACCTCTTGGGAGTGCAATCCACAAAGTTCTAAACAGCAGACAGTGCACCACAGAAGATGTTTATGTTAGATCAGCCAAACTATAAAACTCTTGTAACACTTCTCTGAACCCAGCATTTCCAGTGTTTATAGATCGCTTTGCTATCTGCAAGACCCAGTTAGTATTTAAAATTTAGAATGGCTAAAAAAAAAAATTAATCTTTCTCCCTGCAAGTTAGTTACCAGCTCACAGCTCAGATCCCACCTTATTGGGAAAAAAAAAAAAACAGCATCGCCCTGGAATCTAGGCAGGACCTCCACTCTCCAAGCTGCGACCTGCTAAAGTGATCAACATTTTGATTTTTCACAGCTTTGAAAGCCTCTAACTGGCTTTTCCATTTTGGATCATTCCAAAGTCTGCAGCAAAATCATTGGTTTTATGAAGCTAGGGTGCGGGTGAGGGTGGTAGGTGGAAGTGCTTGTTCAAACTGAGATTCACTGCATAAAACTCGGAGCAGCATTTCCACAGAAATGTGCTATTCCCCTCCTTCGAAATGAGGAAAGTGTGGAGGCTAGCTAGCTTCACACCACAGTTTCATTGTCTTTCCCAGCCTTTACCCAACCATTCCCTCTCTTCTCTCTCTTTACCTTCCCAGAATTCACCAATCTGTTGGAACATTTCTGCCAGGTGTGAAGCGTTTTGGCAGACCAAATCCACATGCCTGAAGTAATGCCCACAAGCAAAGACATAAAAATTTTCAACATCTCAACTGCCATATTAGAGTCATCTGCAGAATATCGAAAGAGAGCCCAGTTGGAGATTTCATAGAAGTAACAGGCAATCACACAGGTTGCAGGAACTGTGTACAGTACTGAGAAGACTCCAATCTTCACCATCAGCCTTTCCAACTTGTCTGTCTTTGTCCCATCCTTTTGAAGATTTGACCGAATTTTGAATAAGGCCACCAAACCTGCAGCAATGAATAAAGTTCCAATCACCAAATACGTGAAGAGGGGAGCCACCACAAAGCCAGTGAGGGCATCGAGGTTTTGGTTCCCAACATAGCACAGGCCAGTCAGTTCATCTGCATCCACCAGTCTCATGATCAAGATGACAATGGTTTTCACTGCAGGGATGGCCCAGGCTGCAATGTGAAAGTAAGAGCTGTGCATTTCAATGGCTTCATGACCCCATTTGAGGCCTGCTGCCAAAAACCAAGTGAGTGTCAGAATAACCCACCAAATGGAGCTAGCCATTCCAAAAAAGTACATCAGCAAGAAAATGATTGCACATCCTGTGTTCTTAAGTCCTTCTTGGATGAGAACGGGTTCTGCTGCCTCTTCAAAATCGCAGGATATCCTTTCCCGGCCTACAGTCAGCCTGACAATATAAGCAATGCTATAAATATTATAGCACATACTGAGGAATATGATGGGGCGCTCAGGATAGGAAAACCTGGAAGAATCGACTAGGAAGGTAAGGACAGTAAAGGCAGTGGAGATGAAGCAGAGGCTGGCCCACACTGCTATCCAAATATCGGTGAACTCTTTGGCAGAGCGGCTGTATAAGCCAGCATCGTAGCCACACTTGAGAACACAGGTCAGGCTCCTTTTCACCCAGATGTACTGATCGGAATTGGTTCCCACTGAGTGACACTCTTCCCCAGGCTGGATGGGGGTCTTGTGAGGTAAGGGCACCTCTTCATCACCTGGCCCTTCCATGCACATGTGGTTGTGGTCGTTCTGTGGTGGGAATTTGCTGCAGTTCAGGCTCTCAGGCCAGGCAAATCCAAATTCCTTCAGCACGGGTTCACAGCGTCTCTTGACTGAAAGACACATGCCGCCGCATGGGCCGATGGGGATGTTGATCTTCTCTGTGCACATTGGCACATAAACTGAACAAAGGAAGAACTGGAAAAGTAATGAAATGAACAAAGAAAACAATGACTTGGAGGTTTGACCAAATGCTTGCACAAAGCTGAGTGAATGTTTCTAGGCAATGTACATATCTGCTTTTAAACAAGCCTAGTAGGAGTCTGTCTGTTTACCCTGACCTCAAACAGGGGTGCTTGGTAATCCATCACTTTTACACACTTTTCTTTGACTCTAGTCATCCTTTCCAGAGGGACAAAGATGGGTAGATAGGTAGATAAGAAGCATCTGAAGAATTATATAATTCCTTTTCACATAGTCCTTAATAAACTTTTTAAAAATGACTTTAAATACCCTTCTGCTTTTAGCTACTGTATGAAAGAGATGAAGAGTCTAATAAAATTACTCAGTTGTTTAAAATAGGGTACTTGATTTTATTCACATTTATCACCTTAAAAATAAATGTAAAACATAGATAGGTCCTGTTACTATTTTCTCTTTTCCCTACTTTACCCTTTAAATTAAAAAAAAATCAATTCCATTTTTGAAACAAAAATTGTACCAATTGAGACACTGTTAGACCCAAGGGTGTGGATTGAGGTCTCTGGTCACTAGGGGTTTGTTTGGTTAGGGTTTCCTCAATGAATAGTAATGAAGCACAATAGGAAAATGTAAATGTTAAGTCCCTGATACTGCAATACCAGCAGGGGAGAGTCCAGTTGCTGTCCTCAATTCCTCCAGCATTGATAAACAGTCTCCTTGGCTCCATACAGATGTTGTCTATGAAGTCTAGGGTTACAAGTAACTATTTTCCAGCATGTAAAGGGATCCAGTCTTGTCCTTCAAAACAGCTTGGCTGCTTCCCCAGGATACATGTAATTAAAAATATACATCCCTGCAAAAGCTGTCTCTGCAACAAAATTGCCACTGATGTCAGGATATGTGCTGTTTCCAAACTGAGAGCTAGAGAATCATTTCTTAAGTTTTTATAACCTAGTCCTAAAGTTCTGAAATTTCCAAAGGGATATTTCACCAGCAACAGGTCTAATCCCAACCATCTTTCCAAAACCACAATCCAACTTTTAAAATGACCTATGTAAAAACATACAGCCAGTAAGTTAGCTGTATGTCTTTTTCTTATCTTTCAGAAGTCACAGCCAGGACCATAGATTTCTGAAGTCTGCATAACTAACCTCTATTATTTTCCCAACTGCTCTCTTTTCTAAACATATTAAAATCACTCAGCCTCACTAACCAAAACACAACCAATGTTGTTAGGTTCTTTTTTTTTAATTTTCCATTCAGTTCCCACGCTCCCCATAATGAATTGATTGTTATTGCAAGATTTTGATCACCTGTATATGCAAATTCTTTCTTCACTTCTTGTAGGAGGAACAACTTCCGTATCATTACACATTACATAAGCTTTAAACTTTTTAATGACTGCAAAAGAAAATTCTTCCAATACCCAAACTACTTTCCTGGAGCTTTTTCTCTTCTTTCAAACACTAAACCTGCCTCCAATCCTGAGGACAAGAAAGAACTCAAGTCAACCCAACCATTCCTTCCTGCATGACCTCTAAAACCGTGTGAGACGTGAGGAGGGAACCTGCTGCAGAAAATCGGGCAGTGGTGTTTTATCCAATAACCCAGCCCCAGAAACATGGTGAGAAAGGAGATCGGTGTTCATGTGTCCTTATCTCTCCTTCCAAGTTTTAGCTACAGCTGGCTGCTCTGCCGGGACTCACCCACGGAGCAGCGGCGGCCAGAATCCTTGGCAAAGATAACCTTCAGCTCCACCGGGGTTAGGGGCTTGGCCAGACATGGGTGGGCAAGGGAGAAAACGGAAGGGCGGGGTGTAAGAGTGGCCAGATGACTTACCCAACGTTTTGGCTTCTATTCCCTGAGAAGGGACTGAAGGGGGGGGGGTGGAAGTCACTTTTTCAGGAGAGTTGTACCCCTCGGGCTAGGAAGGGTACAGGGGGCTCGACTTCCACGGATTTCACGGAGGGACAGTGGGGTGTCCCTGCTCAAGAGGTACCGCCAGGGGTGGGAGTGGGGGTGCGCCCACCTGCAGCTGGCTAGAGCAGCCGTACTGGATGAGAGGCGTGAAAGTTTTGCACCGAGCAGCTCGAGGTTCTGGCTAGTTTGCATAGCCCGTGTTCGGCCGTCAACCACGGTTAGGCAATCTGGATCCACAAGTTCGTTATCCGCGAGGTTCGGGCATTCATGAGAAATCACCGGAGGGCGATGCAAGCAGCACCTCTGCACTCCTCACGTGCCCCGAAGGCCCCGTGCCGTCCCACAGGCACAGCAACACACAGTGTAGGAGTAGCGCCCGCAGACTGAGCCCGACGCCTGCGGGCGCCCCCGGGACGCTCGGGACCTTTCCCCGCAGGCTCGATAGCCAGATGTTGATGGGGCCACGGCGGCGGCGGCGGCGGGGGCTAATGCAGCAGACACCCCCAGTTTGCACTGGGGCGCCGGCTGCCCGCGCTGCTTCCAGCTCCGGGGAAGGGAGTGTGATAAGGCGCCAAGGGCGACGAGGGGGCAGTGGCCGCCTTTCCAGCAGCTGCGCGCGATCGTGGGGGGTATTAGACGTCCCGGGCCGAGGCGGAGGAACAGACTAATACTGAATCCATGCTGCAAGACGTGCTATCCCAAGGCAGCGCACACACGGCGATCCACAACCTACGGCGTCCTGCCCTGGAGCTCAAGTCGCGTCTCCAGCGAAAGCCCCAGCGCTCAGCCCGGCTAGAGTCACCCACACTTGCCTCGACCGTCTCGCGGCGCTGGAGGTTCGCCTGGGTCGTGCGGTGGGCGGGGACATGACAGACGCACCGTCGCCAATAGGTGCGTAAGGCAGAAGGGCGAGGGGACTTCGGGGCGGGGGCCGCACTTCCCTGAGAAAGAGGTCTCCAGGACCTGGCCCGCTAGCCCCCCTCGCTTTGCCTCGCCTCTCTGTCCGTGTCCCCGCCCCCCCGCTGCTTCCCGGCGCTTACTTTCCTCCCACCCGGATCCAGGCGCGCTTGGGGCCAGGCGGCGATGGAACCCAGTCGCGCCCGCCCGTCCAATCTGCCCCTCCTCTCCCAGGTGTAAAGTGCTCTCGGATAGATGCCCTCTTTCATTCCCTTCTCCTTCCAGCTGTCAACCTTCCGGGCAATGGCCAGTCCGCAATCAAGCAGTAGAAATGTACCATAGAGACAGTCAGAGAATTTGATTTATCACAAAATTGTGGCTATTAAAATGAATCCCTAGCTGAGTGACGCGTTTGAAGCAAATTGCACTTCAGCCTCTCGCAGAAAAAGGTATCCGCGAATTGCACACGTAAAAAGTGATCTTTCGGCAGGAATTGAGAGAGAAAGAGCGTAAAAACTATGACTCGTCCCTGACACAGTGTTTCAAGGGTTCGTCTGCTCGGCATATTTTCACCCCCAGATTGCAAAGGAGTCTGGCGCCCTCGACTCCTGTCGCCCCAGGCTCGCCCAACCTGCTCCCTCTAGGGAGTCTCCTTGTCTCCACCGCGATGGCGAGAGAAGGCGCCCCGAGGGGGCGACCTAGTTAGCGTGCCGCTAGGACCACGGGCTCGGCGCTCCGTATGATTCTCACACGTATGAAAGTGAAAAATACCACACAGGGGGACTTCGAAGGAATGAGACAAGGAAGTGGATAGCTCACCGCTGCTTCCTTCGGTCCCGCCCCACTTCTGAACGGGACCACGGTAAGTGCTAATAAATAACGTCTTGGATGGGCGTGACTGAGGATGTCAGGAAAGGGGAGAGGTTTGAAACCCTCGTGCAAAGCGGGGCCCGAGGAAGGGCGCCAACAACACCAGGCTCCCCTTCCCAGCCCTGGGGCACCCCTCCCCTGCATCCTGCATCCCTTTTTTCTTATTCTTGATTCTTGCGTGGATCCGCGGAGGTTGAGAAGCATAGTTTCGACTTAGGGTTGCTCAATGCCAACTTGCTTCTTATCTCTCATTTTCCAGTCCCTAAGGTGCCTGTTGAATAGCTCCCACTTTCTTCAGCTTTCTAGTAGAAGCTAACGAAACAATGGGACTCTCAGGAAAGGTAATTAGCTCCCTAAGCCATTTACTTGTAACTTAACTGGCTACTGTGCCTCTTTGAGCCCCCAATGCAAATAGACAATTTTCCAGAGGAGTAAGGTTCCCTGCCTTCCCACAGTGTTGCCAAAGTTATAGCCATGATAATCAATGCCTGATAATAAGCATCTGTGAATGGCAATGAGTAAAAATGCTTCTTCACATGACATTTGTTTAGGTGGGTTTTTTTGGGGGGGTGGTTGGTGCAAGGGTTTGAGATGAGAGCAAAGGAGATTAATTATAGTAATATCCTTCAATCTCACCACAGCCCTAGGTTCTGAAGGATATGGGTAATAGCAATTCACCGCAAACTCTTCACACCTCCTACTAACCTATCCCACGGATGGAATTGAGAACTCAGGTCGCCAGTCACTAAACTTTTTCTAGGGGAAAGTTGCCTACTATCACTTGAGCCATACTAGTTCCTTTGCTATTGAGTCTATGTTTTTCAGATAGGGTCTCTGAACACTGTTTGCTTTTGCACAGCCCATCAGACCGAGCAGTTCCTTCCACGTTCACCCGGTCCTCTCCTCATAAGCTGGAATTAGATTCTGTCACATTTCCAACTCAATTTTTAGCCTATGGAAACAGCCTGATTTTAACTACTACCAAAATTCACGACTGATTCTCTGACCATGGCAGAAGGCTAGTTATACTTAATGGAAGATAAGTCTAGTACCAATGCGTGGTGCATATTATATGGTTGTAATTTTAGTTGTTCTTTTTTACGTATAGCAGCTCAATCTTGCTGAGGGCAAGGTTTGAATCAGACATTTTTGATTTTATTTATTTGGTATTGCTCGTGCCTAGAACTGTTGGGCACATAGAAACTGCATTGTCTCCAGTCATTGTCATAACCTTAAGGAGACTGGGAAACTGAGGCTTGAACCAAGGCAATAGTTAGAAAATGACAGGACCACCCAAACCAGAGCCCATGAAAGGCCCTTCAAAGATGATGGCAATGTATATTCCCCAGAAAAAATCCCCCAGCCTGAAAATAACAATTTCGGAGCTTTTCAGGGAGGAGCAGAGAAATGCTCAGTGTAGCTTGTGCCAAGCACACATGTCTAATAAACTACTTCGGCTGCTGAGAACAGAGTGAGAAATTAGATCTTTTTCATTTGGTCTACAGAGAGGACAAATAGTAGAGATAATTGTGTTATAGTGATATGAACATGATCCAATCTCTCTAGGGACCACACAAGGGAGAGAGCAGAAGAATAAAGAAACATCAGTAACTCATAAGATATAGCACTAGATGAATTGTGGCAAATATTGAACGTGCAAGAGTGGTAACTTGACACCTGTAAGCATCTTGAGCTCAACTAAATGGAGTTAGTTTACAACATTCACACAATTTAATACGAAACAGGGAGGGAGAATGGGCTGCCTTTGGCTTCTGAAGAGATAAAGATTAACAGTGATTTGTGAAATAACGAATTCCCCAAGGTTTCCCAAGGGAGTAGCACACCTTTCTCACTAGGGCCCTTGGCGCACATTGAGTTGGGACATCACTAGTCCGTGGGTGAAAGGAAAACTATCTTGATAGAAAATCCAGTTAATTCAAAGAAACCTGAGTTACTTGCATCGTTGATTATCAATTGTACAACTATACGTGAGCAAAATGCGGCCTATCATGAGAAAAAATTAAGCCCTCCAATTAACCAAATGGCTCAAATAGTAAGTGGTGGAAAGGACTCAGTTTGTACTCTGCGCTACAAAAAATCCCAAAACTCAGGAGATGGGCATGGTAGGAGTTTCCGACGCGCCTAGGGCTAGCCAATAACAGTACCTCGCTCCTCAACAAACCCAGAAACACACAAACACACCAATCAACAGCAAAACAAAAAACAGATTGTTGTACCTGCCCAGACCTGAAGAACTGTACGCCACTGCACGGCTCTCACAGAGTGAACTGTTTTTACACCTTCCAGCCCTAATCCACTGTTAACCGATACCCTGTTTTGTCATCTCTAGCTCTTATTCTAGCTTGCATCTCTGCTCACAATGTTGAAGCTCCAGCTGCTTCTTATGAGAACACATCGATAAGGAGCCCGTCCCATCAGAACTTTTCCCTGTCCACAGCTTTTTTCTTCTGGTATCGTACCTCATCACAGGGTAATTATTTCCAAAATAAAGAAAGCAGGTGGAGTCAATTTTATGATCTGACGTGAAAGCACAAAGAACAAGACCATGACTTGGATTAGTCTGTAATGGTCTCAGATGCAGCACTATCTCAACCGTCCGCCCTGAGTGCTTATTAAACGTCCGAATCAATGCCCTTTTGGTTGACATCGGCAGGGCACTTTAATGTCTTGTGACATAAAAAAACTCTCCCTAAAGCGTGCCAACCGCAGCACAGAACAACCTCATCATGCATATGTTGGAGAGACAAAGAGAGGGACATGTGAAAAGGATCTTCCCTAAAGCACTAGAGGCCGTAGTCTCCAGTGGCTGTGACCTGAACAGTGTCCCTATCCAGCCTCCAAGTAGTAAAGATGCAGCCACATAGGAGCTCAACAAAAATGACTTCTGCGGCCTGTTGGGCAGTTGGAGAGCTCCCCAGGTGCATCTGATGAGAGCTGGGTTCTAATTAACTCCTGTGATGTGTTAATTTTTCAACCTGACATTTTCAGCTCTAATAGGTTTTTATAATGGTTCCTAAACTAAAGGCTGCAATTGAAAACTAGTAGGTTAAAATCCACTACCTAAGGGGGTGGGTGCTGTAAACTTCCTTTCCTTCCTAAGTAAAACCCCTTATTTGTAGCTCTTTGCTAACCCAATTAACGTTGAAGTGGTCATCCCAAAGCCTGCTTTTTATTTCTGGCGAAACAATCCAACTAATCCATATTCAGTAGCTTCTAAGAAAAGTCTTATTCCAACCACTCATGAAGAAACTAGCTTCTTTGAATCTAGACAGAACATTTAGAACTCACAAAGAACTGTCTTGATAGAAAATGCAAGAAAGTGGTTCATTATTATCCTAGTTGGTTTTTGAGGGAATAATTTGCTGGGACGAAAAATCGGAAGTATTGGGAAATTACTGTGGAATGACAGAACCACGGGGAGAAGCCAAGCCACATCCTATCAGTTTATAAATAGCTTGAATGCTACATCTTCTTCTATATCCAAAATAGCTATAAAACAAAATCATGTCTACAGGATAAGGTGGGGAAAAAATTCTGATCTAGCTCCAGGTAGAGGGATCAGAAGTCCCAAGTGGCGAAGTAACAACTATTAAGTGGCAAAGCCAAAATCCTTTCCACTGTACTCTAGCACACGAAGACATTACAGAGCTCTTGATGTCAAGGAATCAAAGCCCTGTTCCTCCCACCTATGTATTTAGCAAGTGTAAGACAGTACATTGGACCTTTTTATTTATCAGTGGTGATGGGGAACAATGAGCCTCCATGGGAGGCAAACATTAATGCAAGTACATTTTGTACCTCCACAGCCTCCTTTCCTTTCAGTACTGAAACACATAAGCAGGTGTTTAGTGATGGGTTGTTGTAGGCATGTCACTGAACATTGTACTTGTGTGGGGATATGCAGATGTGTAAAAGATGGTCCCTGCCTTCAAGGAGCTTACAGTCATATTGGGGAAGATTAAGACATGAAACCAAAAGGGAAACAAGTTTCTTTATGGTTAAGTGTTTTGTCTTGGGCTTCTCTCCCTATTGCCATATATAAGGTTTGGTATTAGAAGTTTTTTTCTTTTTCTTTTTTGTCTTCTTCACTAACCTTTGAAGTCAGAGGCTATGTCTTATTCTCAGATGTGCTCCTGAATAGCGTAAAACAACATTACCTGATCCATAGAAGATACTCTATAGTTATTTGTTGAATAAATGAATGGTTCAGGTGATGAGTGATCTGATTCTTCGAAAGAGAGTCTTCGCTATGATCTGGATATAGTCAACCACCAAAATATAACCAGTTAGATTCTTAATCACTCCCACAAGTCAGGTATCCTGGCAAGTCTCCCAATTACCCTAAGATATCATGAAAGAGAGGTCACATACAGCTCTC